TTTTTTTTTTTTACAACTGCGGTGTCAACTGGCATGAAACCTCTACCGTCCCTGTTGTGCGGGCCGCCCGCCTGTGTCCTGGTGCTTTCTGGGACCCTTGGAGGCTGCATATGAGCTCATTGAAGGCAATGATAATATCTCTAATTTTGGGAATGATTTACACTTTTTTACCACTTTTTGTTTGTACTTTGTATTTGAATTGTGTATGTGTAATATTTTCTGTTGTATAACTGTATTAGTTATTACTGATCTGTGAACTCTGTGTTTGCAACTACTGAACTCATGGTTCAGTGTTCATTATTTTGTAATGCAAAGTTTAGTAGTTTGTAAGGCAGACTTCTTTCTGCTGATCAAACTAATTCATTTATTTTTTTTGTTTCAGGTACTTATATAGCGTTGTCAATTTACGCAGCGCTTTACACATATATATATTAAACATTCACATCAGTCCCTAACCCTCAAGGGGTGTACAATCTAAGGTCCCTAACTCACATTCATACATACACATATTAGGGCCAATTTAGACAGGATCCAATTAACCTACCAGCATGTCTTTCGAGTGTGGGAGGAAACTGGAGCACCCGGAGGAAACCGGAGCACCCGGAGGAAACCCACGCAAGCACAGGGAGAACATTCAAACTCCAGCAGGAGGAGCCATGGTCGGGAATCGAACCCATGACCCATTTACTGCAAGGCAGACGTGCTAACCACTAAGCCACTGTGCCGCCCCAATGAACTCTGCCTTACAAACTGAACTCTGAAATTTGCGTTCCCAACTACTGAACTCAACACTTTGCATTGCCAACTACTGAACTCTGCCTTACAAAACTACTGACTTCTGCCTTACAGGCTACTAGGCTTTGAACGCAGAGTTCATTAGTTTGTAAAGCAGATATCACAGCTCAGTAGTTTGCATTACTAACTACTAAGCTTTGCCTTACAAACTACTGAACTCTGCTTTGCAAACTACTGAACTCTGAAATCTGCGTCACCAACTACTGAACAGTAACATTTAAATTTTTACTTTTTTTTGACTGGTGTGCCCTGGGATTCTGCCAAATTTTAAATGGCTCCTTGGCTGAAAAAAAAAAAATTGAAAAACACAGTTTTACACACTAATGACTGTACCAGAAACTGAAATATTTTATGTAGAGGGAAGTAAAAATAAAAAACTAAAATAATATGGTTGCATAAGTGTGCACACCCTTAAACTAATACTTTGTTGAAGCACCTTTTGATTTTATTGCAGCACTCAGTCTTTTTGGGTATGATTCTATTGGCATGGCACAGCTTGACTTGGCAATATTTGGCCACTCTTCCTTTGTAAAAACACAAAAAAAACTGTCAGATTGTGACAGCATCTCCTGAGCACAGCCCCTCTTCAGATCACCCCACAGATTTTTGATCGGATTCAGGTCTGGGCTCTGGCTGGGCCATTCCAAAACTTTAATCTTCTTCTGGTGAAGCCATTCCTTTGTTGATTTGGATGTATGCTTTGGGTCGTTGTCATGCTGAAGGATGAAGTTCCTCTTCATGTTCAGTTTTTTAGCAGAAGCCTGAAGGTTTTGTGCCAATATTGACTGGTATATGGAACTGTTCATAATTCCCTCCACCTTGACTAGGCCACAGTTCCAGCTGAAGAAAAACAATCCCAAAGCATGATGTTGCCACCACCATGCTTCACTGTGGGTATGGTGTTCTTTTGGTGATGTGCAGTGTCATTTTTGCGCCAAACATCTTTTGGATTTTTGGCCAAAAATTTCCACCTTGGTTTCTTCAGACCATAACACATTTTCCCACATGCTTTTGGGAGACTTCAGATGTGTTTTTGCAAAATTTAGCCAGGCTTGGTTGTTTTTTTCTTTGTAAGAAAAGGCTTCCTTCTTTCCACTCTACCCCATAGTCCAAACACAAGAAGAATACGGGAGATTGTTGTCACATGTACCAAACAGCCAGTACTTGCCAGATATTCCTGCAGCTCCTTTAATGTTGGTGTAGGCCTCTTGGCAGTCTCCCAGACCAGTTTTCATCTCGTCTTTTCATCAATTTTTGAGGGATGTCCAGTTCTTGGTAATGTCACTGTTGTGCCATATTTTCTCCACTTGATGATGACTGTCTTCACTGTGTTTCCATCTAATGCCTTGGAAATTCTTTTGTACCCTTCTCCTGACTGATACCTTTTAACAATGAGATCCCTCTGATGCTTTGGAAGCTCTCTGCGGACCATGGCTTTTGCTGTAGGATGCGACTAAGAAAATGTTAGGAAAGACCTACTAGAACAGCTGAACTTTATTTGGGGTTAATCAGAGGCACTTTAAATGATGCAGGTGTATACTGACTTCTATTTAACATGATTTTGAATGTGATTGCTTAATTCTGAACACAGCTATAGCCCCAGTTATAAGAGGATGTGCACACTTATGCAACCACATTATTTTAGGTTTTTATTTTTACTCCCCCCCCCCCCCAAAGATTTCAGTTTGTTTTTCAATTGAAATTAAAATAAAAACTTGCGTGCTTCTGTGGATCAAAAAACTAGTGAACGTGAAAAACATATGCTATAACATATATACCTCTCTTATATCAGGCAAAAACAATCAAATAGTGTAAACAATGCAATGCTACAAATCATGAAATGTGCAAAGAAAAAGTGATCATTGAAAAAATAAAAATAAACCATATAATAATAAAAATGATATAAAAGTACAAACAATTATCTTCTATATATGGTGTTCCCTTCCTCCTGTGATCACCAAGCGCTCCAACCGCAAAAGTGCACATGATATGAAGCTTTTTTCATTTATGACATAAATTGGTGATGAGAGATGTTTTCTGAGCAATATGTTAACAGCTATTATCCATCAAGTTGATTTTCAGTGTCCACTGTGGGACCAAAAGAGCAGTTACGGCAAGCATAATGTATATGTGAGGTCACACTGCTGGAGGTGAGCAGATATCTGGTGGAGGAATTGTGCACTTTTGCGGTTTGAGCACTTTGTGATCACAGGAGGAAGGGAACACCATATCTAGATGATAATTGTTTGGGCTTTTATATAATTTATTATTATATGGTTTATTTTATTTTTCAAAGATCACATGCACATTTCATGATTTGTAGCGCTGCATTGTTTACACTATTTGATTGTTTTTCAATTGAGTTGTACAATTTATAGGTCACATTAAAGGTGGAAAAAGCTCTGAAATGATTTATCTTTGTCTCAATTTTTTAGATCACAGAAACCTGACATTTTAACAGGGGTGTGTAGACTTTTTATATACACTGAACTTATAGGGCTACTTATCTCAAACTACCAACAAGAATATATGAGAGCTCGTGGACACTATGGGGTTTATTTACTAAACCTGGTTGACTCAGAATCTTGGGCACCTGTGCATGGTAGCCAATCAGCTTCTAACCTCAGCATGTTCAGTTAAGCTTCAGCAATAAAACCTGGAAGCTGATTGGTTTTTATGCAGAAGTGGACAAGATTCTGAGTCAACCAGGTTTAGTAAATAAACCCCATGGGACTGTGGCTACTTCCTTTCGACCCATCTTTTTTTTTTTTTCCCTTCATCCCTTTCCTGTTATGACCTTCTAATTTTTCCCATCTCCGTACCTCTCCCCTTTTTCCCTTCTTCATCCCCTCATTTCTTGTTTTACCTCCCTAATTCCATGACCTACTTTACCATGTATCATGTTCTTATGAGATTATTTTACTTACTGATCTTTCCCTTCATGTGAGGATCAACAGTACATGATAGGTAGTTCAAGAATGCATGATACCTAGTTCCACATTTCCTTATATAAATGTGACTTTAAATCTTGGCAGTGGAGTAATAAGGAATCACACATAGATGGGTATAAATATGGCTTTATTACACATGTATAAAGAGAGAGACAATATTGAAGACATGTTATTAGAAACATTAGTTGCTGTCTATTAACCACTTGCCCTTCAGAGGATTTACCCCCCTTCCTGACCAGGTAATTTTTTGATTTGCGGTACTGTGTTACTTTAACTGACAATTGCGCAATCATGCAACACTGCACCCAAATGAAATTTACGTCCTTTTTCCCCATGAATAGAGCTTTCTTTCTGTGGTATTTGATTGCCTGTATGGTTTTTACTTTTTGCGCTATAAAAAAAAGGACTGACAATTTTGCGAAAAAAACAATATTTTTTACTTTATGCTATTAAACGTGTCCAGTAAAGAAAGAAAAAATAAATTTATTCATAAATTTAGGCCAAAATGTATTCTGCTACATGTCTTTGCTAAAAAAAAAATCCCAATACGTGTAAATTAATTGGATTATGTGAAAGTTATAGCGTTTACAAATGGGAGTATATATACTGGCCCTTTTTTTTTTAATTTTTACTAGTAATCGCGGCGATCAGCGGCTTATAGTGGGACTGGGGGACTGCAGCGGGCATTCTGACAGTGGAGGGAACTGACTTTGTGTCACTGACATCCCCAGTGACACCAATACAGTGATCAGTGCTAATAAAAAGCACTGACATTGTACTAATGGCACTGGGCATGAAGGGGTTAACATGTGGGGCGATCAGAGGGTTAACTGTGTGCTGTGTGCCATTTTACAATGTGTGCTGTGTTTGTGCTTCACTGTAAGCACACTGCTTTGAACAAAGCTGACTTTGTTTACTAACAGTTTTCTCCCCCGTCGGAAATCCTTGGCAATCACCGGCTGAGACCCGGTGATTGACAGCCGTGGCCAAGAATGGCAGCACAGGTAGGACACGCGTGTCCCCTACCTGGAAATGCAAAATCACATATATATGTGATTTTGCGCACAGCTGCCGCTCTGTAGCAGTATTTCTGCTATGGGGCGGAGCTGAATCGGTTAAACAAATGCATACTGATACCACTTATGAGACTTTTTGGATGTGGAACCTCTCACCAAGTGTCTGTGTATTTATTATTTTCTCGTGTTTTCTTGAAAAATTTATACTAATAAGATTATACATAACTATGTTTTTCAGATCTCTATAAAAATGGACTTCAGAGGACTAACTTTGTTCCATTCATTGCTGTTCTAAAGGTAAGTGATATATAATTTTGAATGTGTTTTGTTTTGGGGTTAATCATCAAATGTTGTCTTAAAAGCAAACAGACACGTTACTACCTTCTAGAGTTAGGTGCTTTTGCTTTCCAGATGAGTGAAGAAATGCCTGGTATGTAATGGGGATCACTACTGGTCACCAATGCATCCAGGGAGAGGCTCAAACGAAATCTGTGGTGACAGTATACACTTTCATTTTATAGCATCACCATTATAATAGTTATTTTTTTTACAGTCCAATTTAAGCCCACTTGAAAAATCTCCTTTCACGTTGTGAGTGTTGCCAGTCTACTGGATTCCCTGCATATTTTGCAGCTTCTCCTCTGCCGTTTACTTTCTTTTTCTAAGGACTACATATCCCATGGTACCTTGGGACACTGCAGTACCTATCAACCTATCATCTTAAAATATTTTGTATTGCTGTAAAAAAAAAAAGTTGTGAAAATACTGGGTTATTTAGGTTTAAAAGTTTAGACATAATTTAGGCACTACTGTTTTTTCTTTATAAGCATTGAAAATATTGCTTTTGTATTCAATGAGTGCCTTTGAAGATAAAAATATGGTACATATCATTGCTTCCTTGACCCAGCTTTTAAATTTGCAGGTTCCAGGATTTTTTATTTGATCCTGGCTTTTCGATATCTGGTGAGTCACTAACCAGGAAATGTATGCAGTATAAGAGTTCCGCCTCTTTTTGACTTCACTCCTTATATTCTTGTTTCTAGTTAGTAAGTCAGTATGTAGTTAAGTTAGGGATAGGTTGACAGGCCCATTGCCAACATCTTAACACCTTATAACCGAAAGAGCAGTGGCAGCTCCCATATTTCCATCCTCACTTGTTCCCTTTAATAGATTTATGAAAGTATATAGATTTTTTTACAAAGACCTGTAATCATTAAAGTGTTACTAAACCCGCAACAGTAAAATCAGCCTGCATATGCAGTAAAGCATGCTTGTTAAGCTCACTGTGGAACTTAAGGGGTTAATCCTCTGCATTGTGCAAAAAGGCTGTTTGATCCTTTCTTTTTTTTTCCTCCGCTTTTTCAAGCGACCACCTCTTATCTCCTAATACGACAGACTGAACCATAGGCATTTGCACTTGCTCAGTTTGGTGTATATTGCTAAAGAGGTTTTTTTTTTCTCGGGAGAGTGCATGTGATCAGCACAGGGCCAATCAGCACTGGTCAGACAGAGGTCAGGGGTTTTGCATCCTCCTAGAGCAGAAGGAAAACTCCTCCTACAAGCTTTAGCTTGTGCTAGGCTGGGAAGAGATCAAAGTCACAAGACTGCTTTAACTGCTGATGAGAAAAGGTATTTAGCAGTTTATACTTATTAAAATAATTGCACTTTCATGTTCTGTGTACTGTGGGAGACCAGATATAGTGGATTAAGGGTCCTGGGTTTAGTAACACTTTAACCACTTCAGTACCAGACCCTTTTACCCCCTTCCTGCCCTGGCCAATTTTCAGATTTCAGTGCTGTCACACTTTCAATGACAATTACACCATTAATCATGTAAATTTGTCCGCAAATAAACTATTTTATCAGACGGATAGAGCATTTTTTTAGTGGTATTTAATCACCACTGGGTGTTTTATTTTTTTTTTTTATATATATATATATAAAATGAAAAATATCAAAAATTTTGGGGAAAAAAAACACGTTTTTCTTAGTTTCTGTTATAAAATTTTGCAAATAAATAATTTTTCTTTATAAATTTAGGCCATGTACTTTGCTACATTTCTTTGATAATTATAACCCAACTTAGTGTATATTATTTACTCTGTGTGAGTTATAAAATCTACAAGCTATATTGTGTGTGTGTGTGTATATATATATATATATATATATATTTGAAAATTGATCAATCATGATGTACTGGCTATCTCATTTTTGAGGCCCTGAAATACGCCCAAAATAACCCCTTTTTGGAAATTAATTTAGTAAGAGGTATGGTGAGTTGTTTTTAGATTATATTTTCACCACAGTTTTTTTTTAAATTAATTAAATAAAATGTTATCTTTGTCACAAGAGCAGAGCAGTGTAGTGTCATCATATGAATGCTGTGGTGGTGATTAGGGACACTGACTTGTGACTCTATGAACATAAAAAATACTGTGACCAGAGCAATACAGTGTCATCATAGTGACACTGTACTGCTCTGAAAAGGTGATCAGGGTTTTTTTCTTACACTATGATTGCTTATTACAGTGATGATCACTGGTTTAAGCAATCATTTTTATAAATGGCATCCATTTATGTGTCATTGTGTACGATTGTGATAGCTGTGATTGCCCACAGCTATCACATGGTACAGGACCGCTGTGATTAACCTTTGTACCATGTAATCATTGTACACATACAATCACTGGCCACTTTATTAGGTACACCTTGCTAGTACCGGGTTGAACCCCCTTTTGCCTTCAGAACCGCATTAATTCTTTGTGGTGTGCATAGATTCAACAAGGTGTTGGAAACATTTCTCAGAGCTTTTGGTCCATATTGACATGAGTTACTGTTGCCTTTCTATCATCTCGAACCAGTCTGCCCATTCTCCTCTGACATCAACAAAGCAAGTTCGTCCACACAACTGCCACTCACTGGATATTTTTTCGGACCATTCTCTGTAAACCCAGAGATGGTTGTGCGTGAAAATCCCAGTAGATCAGCAGTTTTTTAAATACTCAGATCAGCCCGTCTGGCACCAACAACCATGCCACGGTCAAAGTCACTTAAATCCCCTTTCTTCCCAGTTCTGATACTCAGTTTGAACTTCATCAAGTAGTCTTCACCACGTCTAGATGCCTAAATGCATTGAGTTGCTATCATCAGATTGGCTGATTAGCAATTTGTGTTACCAAGCAGTTGAACATTTCTACCTAGTAAAGTGGTCAGTGAGTGTAGATCACAATAGTACACAATGAAGAGAGGAGGGGCCGGAACATGGCGCTGTGAGCAGCATGAGCTCCAAGTGCCCGCCACTCACTAGAGCCTAGTTTCTGACCGCCCAGAGTTTACCGGAGGGAGGATCCGCTGGCCGCGATGTTCGGCGGTTGAATGATCCCGGCTGTGGCCGTGTGGAGCTGGGAGACACTGCAGGAGCTAGGCCTCTGGTGAGGCAGGACAGCCGGCAGTCAGAGGCGGTTGTGAGGCCCACAGGAGTACCAGGATCTCGGTGAGCTGGGAGTACCAAGGTGACAATGACTTCCCATGTGACAGGGAAGTCTAAAAGATCTGGGAGAGCAGGAGGCTCTGCGGATGAAGAGGAGACAGGGCTCTGATGGGATCCCACCCTGTGCTGGGCCACTAACTTCAGGAGACCCAGAGACACCCCAGATCTTTGCCAAGCCATAGAAGTACCCCGACATGTGTGCCTGGAAGTTTGACTTGGAAGCCACAACAGGAACCGAAGTGCAAACAGGGACTGAAGGGTCAGTTTGGAGGGTGATGGTGAGTTGCCGTGAAATTGATTAGGGGCGCGTAAAAATCACTGAAGGAAAAATATGGACTTTTCTTGTGGATGATAAATTTGTATTTTAACAGAGAAACTAGCACTGGGACGCTTAGGCGACCATTTATATGACAACTATCGGACGCCTGTGATCATAGAAAAGTAACAGGAGTACCGAATAGGAATGAAGAGTAATCAGCTAAAGGAGGGAGCTCAAAAACCCACCAATCGATTGCAAATGCCAGTACAATAAAAAAATATATGTCCCCTTAGGAGTAAAGCCTGGAGAAGCGAACCCGGGAAAAACAATAAGACAAAGTTAGAAAATTCGACGGAGATCAATCCAGATTGTCATCTGGGTCCCGGGAAGGGAACCAGACCAATGAATCAATAAGTCTGGACAGTGTAATAGAACAAAGTGTCACTGAACAACAAGGAGCTATGTCACAAATACCTACAAAAACTGAGATGGCGGAAATGTTCGCAAACCTGGAGATGTTATGAAAAATGAGATGGGGACACTACGCAATGATTTGGGTTGGATATTAACGCGAGTGGAAGAAATAGAGGGGAGAATGGAGACACACTCTCAATTAATCAATAAATTAGAAACACAGGTGGAGGAGATGCGCAGAGAACAGAGCGAGCTCTCATTTAAATTGGAAGACCAAGAGAAACGCGATAGAAGAAATAATCTAAGGATCCGGGGTCTACCAGAAGAAGAAACAGGAAGAGGATCTATGGGAGAAAATAAAGAGTGTGTGTAATCCAATATTGGGAAGATCAGCGACAGAAAATTTGAAATTTGAGAGAGTACATAGGTTCAGACGACCACAAGGAGAGTTGGTAGAAAGCCCCGGAGATGTGATAGTTTGATTCCATCACTATGAATACAGAGAAAGGATATGGAAATGTTTGCGTGATACTACCAAAATATTTTTGCTGGCATTGCTCCAGAGACACTGGCTAGAAGAAGATTGCTGAAACCGCTGCTGGAACATATGAGAGAGAAAAAAGTGTGATATAATTGGGGCTTTCCAGCATGCTTGATCGGATGGAAAGACAGAAAATTGGCTGAGGTTCCCAGAAGATCTTAGTGATTTTTGCAAGAAAAAAGACAAAACCATATGGTGTCGCAAAGGTGAGCAATACAAAGAATAATGCATGGTGCCCACAGTCAAACATGGTGGTGGCAGTTTCCTTCTGTGGGGCTGCATGAGTGCTGCTGGTATCGGAAAGCTACATTTCATTGATGGTATCATGAATTCATAGATGGTATTGCTCTATATTGAAAGAGAAGATGCTACCATCACTCTGTGCCCTTGGTCATCGTGCACTTTTCCAACATGACAATGATCCAAAACACACATCTGAGGTCACTGTTGCATTCCTGAAGAAGAACAGGGTGAAAGTGATTCAGTGGCCAATTATGTCTCCTGATCTGAACCCAATCGAACACCTCTGGGGGATTCTGAAGAGACAGGTTGAGTATCACTCTCCATTCAGCATCCAGGCTTTAAAAGAGGTT